CCCTGTGCATCACGGGTGTGACCCAAAAAGAAAAATAAATTATAAGCCCTGAGCACAAAGCAAGGAGTAATCCCTGAGCACACCTGGGCAGGGCACTCTCAAAAATAAATGAAATAAAATTGTTCTGACTGTTATGCCCAAGTTTGTCAAAACACAGTGCAGTGAAATAGCTAAGACACAGAAGAGGAGGAGGACAGAAGTTTATTTTATCATGATGGGTCCAGGGATCATGATGGGTCATGGGACTTTTACCCATTTGACAAATGATTAAAAAACAGAAATTGCATTTATACTCTAAAGCTACATTCCTAAGTGTCAATGCAGCCATGCATGATTACTGTTTTACTTTTTAAAACAAGATATGGTTTACAGACATCTATCAATAAGATTTTAGCCACAGCCACAGCTCACATAGGAGCAAATTGTCTCTTTACATAGCTTAGGGTCAGGGCCTGCCTTTTGCTACAACAGATTCTGGGTTGTAAATCCCAAATCTGTTAGAGATTCACTTTGGGGTTTCACACAGCCTGTACAGATGATTGCTCTTAAATTTTAGGGTCTAACTCTTACAAACGTTTAGCCCTTCCTTAGTCCAATAGCATGTGGGGAACGTTTTCCTAAACTGTATAGAAAAAGAGCAGCAAGAGCTTCCATGAGACCTCGTTCAGTTTACCGCAATGTGCATTCTATAGGCGGCTCAAGCTTAAGTGTGGCTTACAACAAATCTCAGCACTGGCATCAATGCGTTAAACAGAGATGAAGAGCGATGTTCAGAGCTAGGAGAGCTGAAAGCTTGTGTAGAGAAGGAATGAGCTGAGTTCCTCCCCCTCCGCCCACACTCCACGAGGGAGAGGTGCTAAGTTAACGCCTTAGTGGACCCTTGACAAAGACAGAGAAGCAGCCACTCCTTCAAGGGCTCCGTTTTATTGCAAAAGCATTTTCTTCCCTCTTTTTTTCTTTTCTCTGGTATGCTTTGAGTGCAAAATGAACAAGGGAGGAGGGGGCATGGAAGGGGTGGGGGCTTGAGGTCTTGATGACTGTTTTGTTTTGATTTGAGTCAGCATCCCACTGAAAAGATGGGTGTGGTGACCACTTGGGAACCTCTATGTGGTGGCAGGTGTTGCCTTGGCTTAGATGCTCTTGGCCTCTGTGGCCTCATGGGATTCGACCTTTCTCTAGAGACCTTTCCCATGAGCCCAGCCCATCCTTAGGGAACTCACTTTGGGTCAATTCCTTCAAAACCGAGCACAGAGTCCCACAGTTTTTGCGTGATCGAGGTTTAGAAAATAATCACTAAACCTACAGTTAGGATTTCTAAACCTACAGTAAGAAAGGCTACATTCAAAGGTCTCAGTATTTGCCAAACACATCCTTTTCCCTTTAATTCTATAAATGTGTATTGACATACATGACTTACATTATTTTCCTGTGGATTACAATTGTCAGACCTATGTGGAATCTTGGTTCTTAGTCCATCTGAGAACTACATTTTAATAGGAAAGAAAAATGAGATGTGTTTATTTGGCAAATATTTATGGTACTTCCTAAAAGCAAACCTGTTGGGAGGTGCTAGGGATGCCAAGAGGAACTGGGCAGGATTAACTGGGGAAAACGTAAGACTCACTCACCAAATCTAACCAGCAAACCCTTAGGAGATGTTTGAACAGGAAATAGGTGTGGTCTTCTAGGACAGCCTCAAGAAAAGGTAGGTCTAAGAATTCCTCAAAAATCTCAAGCACAGGGGCTGGAGCAATAGCACAGTGGGTAAGGCGTTTGCCTTGCACGAGGCCAACCCGGGTTCGATTCCCAGCATCCCATATGGTCCCCCGAGCACCACCAGGAGTGATTCCTGAGTGCAAAACCAGGAGTAACCCCTGAGCATCTAGCATCGCCGGGTGTGACCCAAAAAGAAAATAAATAAATAAATAAATAAATAAATAAAATCTCAAGCACATATTCTGCCTAATCCCATATGTTACTTGTGCTGACATGGCTAAGCATATGTGATGCCCGAGTACATGTGTCACCTGCATCTCCCCTCTTGAGATAGAACTTTCATGCTTCCGTATATGATTCTGGCATGTGTGAAGAAGTGCTCTCCACCCTTGGAGAAGCTCACATTCTCTCTTGAGCATGTTACTCTCTCACTTTTTCTCCCTCCTCACCTTCAAAAACTCCAAATAAGATGTTTCACTTAAAAAAAAAAATCTGGGACTAGAATGATAGCACAGAGGGTAGGGCGTTTGCCTTGCACATGGCTGACCCAAGTTTGATTTCCAGCATTCCATGTGGTCCCTGAGCACTGCCAGGAGTAACCACTGAGCATCACTGGGTGTGACCCAAAAAAAAAAAAACCCAAACAAACAAACAAACAAAAATCTTTTCTAGGGGACTGAGCAACAGTAAAGTGGATGTGGCATTTGCCTTGCACAGAGTCACCCTGATCTGTGGGTCTAATCTCCCACATTCCATATGGTCCTCCAAGCACTGCCAGGAGTGAGTGCAGAGCCAGGAGTGATTCCTGAGCATCACCAGGTGTTACCCCAAAAGACGACGACAACAACAACAACAACAACAACAAAAATCTTCTCTATAATTGCTTGAGAGTAAAGTACAATAATGAATTGGTGGAAGTGGGTAGGAGCCAATAAAGAATGTTCTAGTTTAGAGATTGGAATTCTAATCCGAGTGCTCACATCCAATTTCCCTGCCCACCTTCCCTTCGGTCCCAGGGATGCAGCTCAAGGGGCTGAGTACATGCTTCACGTGCCAAGGAGGGGGGTTGTTTCACATGGTCCTCTAAGCAGTGCCTGGAGCAATCCTTAGCACAGGGCCAGCCTGTAGCAGCACTGAGTGCCACCAGGTATGGCCCAAAACCCAAAATAGTCTTACCCCAAGTTATAAGTTATTTTGTTCTTGAGAACAAAGAAATGAAATAAATGCTACCTATGCCCTGGATTGAGACTTTCAGCTACCGTCTCTGACCTAAAAAAGGTGGGGGTGGGGGTTGGGTAAACCATACAATTAGTTTTCCAGATAGAGATCCTGAAGGAGAAACCAGAGGTGCTTACAATGATTTTAGTTTAATTGGAAACACACCCTGAATGATAGAGAAAACCGGAATTGTTGCTTTCATCTGAATGAGATGAATTAGAGACTGTGGGTTTAATTATGCTATCCACCCCTCCCTCCCAACAGAATGATGTGGACCTACTAAGTTCTTCCAGAGTTCCCTGAACCTAAGAAATAGCACAGTTGAGCCCCAGGAACAGCCAGTGCCTGGGGCGGGGAGGCTGCCTTGTTTGTGGCTGCCACCGGCTTTGGTATTTCCTGCTGTTTAGACTTTTTTTTTTGAAATCTTACTTCCATACAATGACCAAGGGCTTTTACATCCCGCATAGTTTAGCAAGAGCATTCCTGTCTGGTGCATAACCCCAAAAGAAAACTCTCATTTAATTTTGAGAGCTTCAACAGGTTTTAAAGATGGTTCACAAAGTCTCTTGCATGATGTTGGAGTTCTGAAAGAAGTCTAAGAGATATTTTTTTTAACTGGGGGAAAGAAAAAACAACTTTAGTGTTGAAGTTAACAGGGCCCATATTTCCACAGATTATTGTCTAACAGTGTGCCTTAACTGGCTCTCAAATACTTGCCAACACATTGATTTCAACTGTTGATATTCGACCTTCTTGTGGTCCTGAGGCCCGTTTAGGCGGAAGGCAACTCTGTGGGCTTCATGTTGCTTCATCCTGTGTTCCAGATTCACACTGCACTACATAACTACTCATGTTGTGTTATTTTGGATTTTGCTTCTGTTACAGGTCAGCAAAAATTGAACAGAAACCGGAGGGAACAGGATAGGAAAGTCCTAGAGCACCTCTAGAGGACCCGGCAGAGTGGGACCAGTGCAGAAGGGATCGGTCCCAGTGTGGAAATGTGCATGTCCTGAGCAAGAAGTAGGTGGAGGGTCCCTTCTTTGTGTAGGGTTGGGTTCTGGGATCAGCCAGCTGTAGTGATAGAGTAGAAGCACGCATCAGCAGCAGCAAGACTTCAAAGGATGCTGGGTTGACACAGGGGAGTTCCTGCAGAGGAGGAGGCCGCTTTTGCCCACCACATAGTGATGCCAATGACAGAACATCTCTGCATGGCAACTGTGCCCCTTTCTCATGATGAGCCTTAAGTGATGTGTTTCTTCCTAACAGTTCGTCTCCCTTTCAAAACTAAATGTGTTGATATGATCAGACAAGAGGCCAGCTGAAACTATAGGATGAGCCTGGAGCCTCATCCACAAATGAGCAAATGGTGTCAATGACCATGAACATATAGCCAAGGTCAAATCCCATATTTGGTAAGTTTTATTTTTTTTTTTCAAAAATGTATCACTATCATTCTATGCCATGAACATTAAATGACTTCTAATGTGTGAACACATATAAGGGTTTTCTTGTTAGTTTTTCCAGGGCTTACTTACTCCTGACTCTGAGCTCAGGGATCACTCCTGGTGGGCTCAGAGGGTCATAGGGTGCTGGGGATCTAAGCCAGATCAGGCTTGTGTGAGGCAAGCATCCTCTCTGCTGTATGATCTGCCCCACAACCTTATCTTTGTATTAAAAAAAAATTCTTTTTAGGGGTTGGAGCAATAGCTTGTAGGGTAGGGCTCTACCAAGAGGGAGGGAGGAATCGAACCCGGGTCAGCCTCCTGCAAGGGAAACACCCTACCGGCTGTGCTATTACTGTGCTATACATGTGCTATTGCTTTTTTCTTCCAAAGCACTTGTAACAATCTCATTCCCCCCCCTTCAAAAAAGAGAAAAAGATCTGAATATACACTTCAAAGACTTACAGTAGGCATATGAATAAGTGCTCTTTATCTCTTATCATCAGGGAAATGCTATGCTAATCAAAATGACAATGAGCAATTATCTCACACCTGTAACACTGGTACAAATAAATAAATATTTAAAGCAACCAGTGCTCTTGTAGATATGCAGAAAAGGAACCTTCATCCACTGTTGGTGAGAATGTCAACTGGTTCAACTTCTATGGAAAAATAGTTTGTTGACTTCTCAAAAACAAAAATTAATAATTGAGCTTCCAAATGACCAAGCAATTCAACCTTTTGGCGTCTATTCCACTGTTCCCAAAACACTATTTCATAGACATTTGCACTCCTATGTTCATTGCAGCACTATTCATGATAGCCAAAATCTGGAATAATCCAAGTGTCTGAGAACAGGTGACTCGATAAAGAATCTGCTATATCTACCCAATGGAATATTATTCAGCTATAAGAAAAGACAAAAGCATGCAATCTGTCACAATGTGGAAGGACCTGGAGAGGAGCGTGCTGATAGTGGTCAGCCAGAAGGAGAGAGTTGGACACAGAATGATCTTTCTTTCTTTCTTTCTTTCTTTCTTTCTTTCAAAAAATATATTTTAAAAAAATTTATTTTATTAAAGCTTTGTGAATTACCAAGTTATTCATAGTTGAATTTTTGACATAAGATGCAGAATGATCTTTCATATGTGGGATATAAAGAAACATAGTAAGGAAATAACAAATGACCGGAGGCAACAGATAACCAGGGGCAAGAGAACATGAGGTGGCTGAGAACATAAGAATATGGTTTAAGTTCCAGCACCTCACTGACTGTCCCCCTCCTTTGCCTGCTCACATGCACTGCCTGCCCCCCCCCAACACTACTGCATGGCCCCAGCACTGTGGGGAGTGACCCTGGGGGTCCCAAGCAGCACCACATCCTTGGGCCTGATTGTTGAACCACCAGACCCAGTGGCCAAGTATCAGCAGGAGTAGCTCTAGAGTACTGCTTGGAAGGGCCCCTCCCCAAATGCAGAATTGCAAAATAACTATACTTTTTACAGTAACACAAAAAACAAAGTAATTTACAGAAGGCTCCAGGAGAGGGTTGCCTAAGGGAGCTCAAGATAGGACCAGGGACTGGAGATAAGAGGTTGTGGATGGAAGCAAGGAAAGAAAAAGGACTGAAACAGAGCCCTGGGCAGACAACCTGGGGAAGAATGACTAGCCCTTGGCACAGAATGATCTTCTTTTTCAGGTGTGTGAACTTTGAAAGATTGGAAACAGCTGTTCTAGGTACTGCATGTTCTATGTTTGAGGAATTTCTCAAACATAGAAGAACAGTTTAGTGGGTGAGCAGTAAAAACGTGGCAGAGGTTGCCCTGAGAGAGAGCATGAGGGTTGGGAGCCCATGAATTGTATGCAGGAAACCCGGGTTCAATATCTGGCTCTACTTGATCCTTGAGAGTCACTGGGTGTGACCTCCCTCCCACTCCCCAAAGTTATCACTGTAAAGGTAGGAAGCATCTGTTCTGTGCTGATCTGAGGCACAATTTTATCTTATCCAATTTAGGAGAGTGCTTGAAATTCAAGTTTGTTGGCCTCCTTTTCTCTTCTGTTACCAAAATAAAAGATGTATTTGGGCAATTGAACAAGTTCTTGCAGGAAGGTCAGAAAATCCTGACATCAAAACCTCACTGTCTGGTTTTTTTTTCTTCTTTTATAATTTTGAATTTCAAATATAAGTATGGAGCAAGTCTTTTTGTAACAAGTTAACTACAGCATTGCTTGGGGATTCTCACCAGATTTTTCTTCTGAGCAGATATTTAGTGTTGTAATTTCCAAATGTTTGTTTTCGATGGCATTGTTTCCTGTAAACTGGTTAGATTTAAAATATTTTTTAAATTATTTTATTATTTTGGGAGTTGAGTTTTTTGGACCACATCCAACTATTGAAGGAACTTATGGTGCCAGGGATCAAATCTGGGACTTTTGCATACAAAGCATGTGCTCAACCCTTTGAAACATTTTTTGGCCCCATTTTTTGTGGGGAGGGCTGTTACTTTTTTGGAGGGGTCATACCCAGTGATGCTCAGGGGTTACTCTTGGCTCTGCACTGAGGAATCACTCCTGGTGGTGCTCGGGGATCATTTGGGATGTTGGGAATCAATCAGGTTGGCCACCGCCTACCGGCTATGCTATCCCATGGCTGTTACATTGTTTTAAAAAGCATGACCTGAAAGTACTCCAGGTAGAAAAAAGAAAAAAAAAGAAAAAAGGACAAGAACAAAGTATAGGAAAAGAATAATCTTAATTTTATTAGTAAAAATGCAAGCTTATACAAACTACATTATTTCTCAGGTAAAAGGGGAGAATAATATTTTTGTTTATTAGTAGTTAGTGTGTATCAACTCATTTGAAGATTTTGTTTATTCTGTGGATTTTCAATTTTTTTTCATTTTTTATAATTTTATTTATTGAGTCACCATGAGAGCAGTTACAAAGCTTTTGGGTCTAAGTCTCAGTCATACAATGAAACACTCGTACCTTCACCAGTGCCCATTCTCCACCACCAAAAACCCCAGTATACCCCCATCCCACACCCTCCCCCCACCTGTGGGGCAGACGATTTCCACATTACTCTCGCTCTACTTTGATCACATTCAATATTTCGACACCAGATCCATAATTATTATTTGAGATTTTACCCCAAAACTCAGATATGCCGAAAAGGCAACAATAGACAATTTGTGTTCTATTGCTGGTTATGAATAACATATGATGTCGCGTGGCTGCAGTAGGGCCATGTGATTTTGAAACACTTAAATCTGGAGGGATTTTTGCCAAAAGTCACTGGGTTTCAAGATCTGTTCCTGAGTCTCTGGGATCATGGCTGTTGAGCTGCTTGATCAGGAGCCAGAGAGGCTGTTCGTGGTCGATGACTTGTGGTCTCATTGGGGTGGGGAGGACAGGCCCGGCTCCACCCCATCCCGTGAAGCCCAACAAGTTTCGTCACTGCGGGCCCAAGTTTGACTGTCTAATGTCCTCTGGAGGATGGCGGCCACTGAGCCGCCAGGGGGAAACAGGCAGAGGGACAGCACCCTTTCCCCCCTGGGGTGGCCTGGTGACAGTAACCTACTGCAGGGTCTGGACACATTTCTGCCAAAAGCCGCTGGGTTTCAAGATTTGTTTCTGAGTCTCTGGGATCAAGGCCGTTAAGCAGCTTGATCAGGAGCCAAAGAGGCCATTCGTGGGCGATGACTTGGGGTCTCGTTGGGGAGGGGAGGACAGACCCGGCTCCCCCCCATCCCGTGAGGCCCAACAAGTTTCGTCACTGCGGGCCCAAGCTTGACTGTCCAAAGGCCTCTGGAGGATGACGAACACCGAGCCGCCAAGAGGTAGCAGGTAGAGTGACAACACCCTTTCCTCCCTGGGGTGGCCCGGCGACAGTAATGTACTGTGGGGTCTGGATGCATTTCTGCCAAAAGCCACTGGGTTTTGAGATTTGTTTCTGAGTTTCTGGAATCATGGCCGCTAAGCAGCTGGATCAGGAGTCAGAGAGGCCATTTGTGGGCGATGACTTGGGGTCTCGTTGGGGTGGGGAGGAAAAGCCCGGCTCCACCCCCATCCCGTGAGGCCCTGTGTGTCTCGTCACTGGGGGCCCAAACCTGACTATCCAGTGGCCTCTGATGGATGGTGGCCACTGGGCCGCCAGGGGGAACAGGCCAAGGCACAATACCTATTCCCACCTGGGTTGGCCCAGCACCAGTAGCCTACTGCAGGGACTGGACGCATTTCTACCTAAAGCCGCTGGTTTCCAAGATTCATTTCTGAGTCTCTGGGATCATGGCCATTAAGCAGTTCAATTAGGAACCAGAGAGGCCATGCCTCCAATTATATAGCTGAGCCGGAGGTGGTTTGTGGGTGTGTTTCCCACATACCTAACTTTTGGCCGTTTACTTTCTTGGTAAACTTTGCCCCAAGTTTTTGGGGTCTGGCCAAAGGCACAGCAGCAATTTTGGGGTATCTGGAAGTCTGAAGGCGCTATCAGGCTGCTGATGCACTCGCCTCACAGGTACAGATTCACCTGCTGGCGGCACCATACCCCTGGATTTTCAAAAATTTAGCAAAACAACTAATACTCACAATGCTGCAGTGAACTATAAAGCATTTAATTAAAATAAATTTAAAAATTTTTTAAAAAAGGAGAAAGAGAAGCTTAGAAAGAAAGAGGATGTGCTCTAAATTAAATCATCCTACTATAACTAAATCAGGTGAGTCTTACAAACCTAAGATACAATCTAGTTCTCTTAATTCTCTTAATCCTTACTATCAGCAATACTTGTTTAAGTTTTTAATATAAAGGGACGTAAGCTTAGAAAACAGGAAGAAAAAATATCCTTTTTCTTCTTTGTGAACCCTCCACCCACATTTCACTTTCTTTCCCAAAGCACCAGCTCCTCAACCTCCTTTGTCATTCCTTTCTTCATGTATTCAAGAACGCAGATGAGAAAAACTAAGTGGGTGAGGTTGAATGAACCCAGAACAGACAGATGAGCTGTGAGCCGTGGAGGGCAGCCACCCCGAAGCCTGGCCTGCTGCCAGCCCACAGCAGGCCTCGCACGCTCGCACCTGCTCTGACGTGTTCTTCAGGCGGATGAACTTGCCATCCACGTCTATCTCTTCAATGGACACGTTCCCGGTGGCAGATGCAGAATGGGAGATGCTCACGCTACTGCTCGCCTCTGATTCCTCCACATCTACTCTCTTCCGCTTCCCTCTCGTGGTCCGCACGCTGCGGCTAGAAGACGCTCGGGACACGGTCACCCGCGAGGACGGGCTCGGAGAGAGCTTCAGTCTGCCGGGAAAGAGCCATGCTGTTCGTCAAGCACATTCCTCTGAGAGCCAGCGGCCAGCAGTCTGCCTTGCTAAGCCCATCTGTTAGACCAGGTGAACCTACGTCCCAACCATAGGAATTCTGCATGCTGTGATTATTATTCTGAGTAATAATCTGAATGTGTTCCCTAGAAACAGACTAGAACTATTAGAACATCTTGTTGTAAGTCGGCCACTTCACCTTCAGAATTTATTTTCTCAGACTAAGTGTTTTTCCACTAACCGGGTTTGAAATGTAAAAATGAAGTCTCTTTCAATGTCTTGAATATTTTCCAACATACTGAATTATTAAAACATTTGAAATCTCAAAGGATCATTCCTGATACATTTAGTCCAGGGTTTAGATTACTTGAGCAGCAATTTTCTGCTGTTGAGGCAACAAAATGATGTTTTACTATGACTTGTATCTCTAAGTGCTAAGAAATGAGAGAAGATATTTAAAGGTCCTTGTCTGTCTGTTTTGAGGCCACACCACTGCTCTTAGCTCTGTACTCAGGGCTCACTCCTGGAGGCTCAGGGGACCATCAGTGTTGCTGAGTAACAAACTAGACTCGGCCACTGGCAAGGCAAGCACTTTCCCTGCTGTACTGTTGTTTTGGCAAAAAAAAAGTGCCTTCATTTAAGAAAACAAAAAAGGGGCTAGAGCGATAGTACAGCAGGTAAGGGCAACTGCCTTGCACACGGCCGACCTGGGTTCGATTCCCAGCATCCCATACAGTGCCCCAAGCACCACCAAGAGTAATTCCTGAGTGCAGCACCAGGAGTAACCCCCTTAGCATCTCTGGGTATGACCCCCCCCCCCAAAAAAAAAAACAACTCTAATTCTAGTCTTTCAATAAAATTAAAAGATTTCTAAAAAAGACTGAGGAGGTAGGGAGAAGCCTCAAGTACTTACCTCTTTTCCTCGCCTTCTAGGAGTTTCCTGTAAACACTGATCTCCATGTCCAGGGCTAACTTCACATCAAGAAGCTGCTCATAATCATTCAGCTGCTGCTGCATCTGATCCCGGATTTCCGCCATCTCTCTCTCCTTGTCAGTCAGCATGCGCCGAGAGTTATCTCTCTCTTTAGCAAGCAAGTCCTCCAGCTCCTGAATCCGCTCCAAACATGCTCTAGACTTTGGATTCAAGGAAACACATTTACTTTCTAGATACACTCCAACCCAGTAAGACAAGACAGCTATTTTAATTCATTTCCTAGACAAATAGAACCCTAAGGTATCTCTCATAGTACAATTTTAAAGGTTTGGGCCTTGAGAAATTAAGAACCTAAACTCCTAAAATACAAATTACTGTTCTGCTCTCAGGAAAATTTTGGTTTATAAAAGACCAAAAAAGGATACATTCACCAACTGTGAATATAAATAAGCCACTACCTTCTCTGTATTTGGCCAATTAAAACCATTTTAAGCTATGGTCTTAGTAAAAAGTCAAGTCTATATAAAGCTTTTAGTTCAAGCATCTAAACTGACCAAAAAAAAAAAAAAAAAAGAAAAAGAAAGAAAAAGAAAGATAGGAATTTCAATAAAGGAAACCTAAGGGTGGATGAAACATTTTTTGGAGAATCACCTGAAATCACTTAGGGAAAAAAAAGTGCTCGAGGGCAAAAGCCAGTATGAGGATGGGCGCCGGCCATGAGCCTGCCACCTTGGTCTCATCCCTGCTGCACAGGTCGCCTGAGCACCAGCAGGTGCCGTCCACCTCACAGGACCCCCCACACACACATACACACACAAAAGGCTATAAACAGAAATCAGTTGCCCACTTATGTTTTACTTACTATATTTATTGCCCATATATAAGTTGCCCACTTATATTTACTTATTACTTTATACAGCGGGGCTAGAGCGATAGCACAGCGGTAGGGCATTTGCCTTACAAGCGGCCAACATGGCCGACCCGAGTTCGATTCCTCCACCCCTCTCGGAGAGCCCGGCAAGCTACCAAGAGTATCTCACCCGCATGGCAGAACCTGGCAAGCTACCCGTGACGTATTCGATATGCCAAACACAGTAACAACAAGTCTCGTAACAACAAGTCTCATGATGGAGACGTTACTGGGCCCGCTCGAGCAAATCGATGAACAACGGGAAGACCGTGAGCGTGACTTTATACAGCGGTAGGGCATTTGCCTTGCACGCAAGCCAACATGGTCGACCCGAGTTCGATTCCTCCGCCCCTCTCTCAGAGAGCCTGGCAAGCTACAGAGAGTATCTCACCCGCAAGCCTGGCAAGTTACCCGTGACTTATTCATATGCCAAACACAGTAACAGGTCTCACAATGGAGATGTTACCGGGCCTGATGGAGCAAATCGATGAACAAGAGGACAGTGTTACATTGTTACTTTACTGCTTCTTATAGTTTATTTTCTCACAAAGAAAACAATCACCTAAGTTCAGTTCCCTTATTATATATCACACTGGGAGGGAAAGAACCAAAGGGCAGCAAGAGGAGCAGGTCAGGCAGAGTTAACCTGAGTCTCAACTCATACACCCCAAAGTCTCCACTGCTTGGTAGAACAAGAGGGAAAAATTAAAACTAGGCATACCAGTTTTAAAATTCCTTGGCATCTTAAACAGGAATATTTAAAATTGCATTTCAAGTAACTGCACTCCGCCTGCTACCCAAAGTGAAATGCGTGAAGCCCAGTGCCTCTGACTCAGCCACTGGACACCCACGAGACTCCTAGCAAGCAGAGGATGACCTCATGACCCAGAATGGTTCATAAATGAAGCTGTCTACATCAGACCACCACCTGAAAGATCTCCTCTCCACTCTGAAAGCTAATGAATGACTTGGGAGGGCCATGGGCTGACTAATGTGTAGTGATCCTGTCGAAGCTGCATTGCCAGACCCTGGGTGTTAAGCTCTTCACTAAGTGAGTCATGTAAGCAAAGGAAATTCTATGGCCTAACAGGCAGCCTGAGAAACCCTATGACTTAACAACGGAGACCATTAATCATACAGCAGGAAAATATTGAGACAGTTTTTTTCCTTTATGATAATCTGGAGCCATAGCACAGTGGGTAGGACTTTTGTCTTGCATGCGGCCAACCTGGCCGACCCGAGTTCAATTCCTCTGCCCCTCTCAGAGAGCCCGGCTAGCTACTGAGAATATCTCGCCCGCACAGCAAAGCCTGGCAAGCTACCCATGACATATTCGATATGTCAAACACAGTAGCAACAAGTCTCACAATGGAGATGTTACTGGGCCTGCTCGAACAAATCGATGAACAACGGGAGGACAGTGCTACAGTGATAATCATGGTTAAAGTTATTAATTAACAGAGTTTGAGAACAGTACAGAGGGTAAGGCACCTGGTTTATACACGACTAACCAGGGTTCAATCACTGGCACTATAAGTGATCCTGAACACAGAGTCAAACAGAAGCCCTGCAGGGTATGACTCAAAAACCACCCACCCACCCACACACACACAATGCCTTCAAGTGTTCAAGTATATTATATTGCCTTCAAGTATATTATTTCTCACAGAATCTAGTATCAGTAACGAATAGAAGAAAGGATTTCGACCTCCACCACCCACCCCAGCAGAGAAGTTAAAAACTTTCTCTCTTGCTGAAGAAGTGCTTGCCTTGCCCTCTCCTATCTCCAAGGAATTAGCTTCTGGAAACTCCCAGGGTTTAGAAACATTTAGAAATCACCAACACAGGGATGGGTATTGGAACAATGTATAACTGAAACAGCTTGTCTTACCTACAGCCAACCCAGGTTCAATCCCAGTTCCCATATGATCCCTAAGCCCCAGCTGGAATGGCTCCTGAGAGAGCCAGGAATGGTCTCTGAGCACCTCTCAGTGCTCCCCCACCACCACTACCACACAAAAAGGGAGTATAAGGTGAAAAAAGATTATCTGTTAAATTTCTAAAAGAAAATACTCAGGAGCCAGAGAGGTGGCTCAGCAGTAGAACATCCGCCTTACATGTCTGAGACTCTGGGTCTGATCCCTGCGGAGAGGGGCAGGGAGTGAAAGCAGGCCAGAGCAAGGGTCCAGTGGGTAAGGCGCCTACATTGCATGCAGCCCACCTGGGTTTGAGCCCTGCCAGGAGTGATCCCTGAGCAGAAACAGGTACGTTTATAGAAAAAAATGCTAAGGTAGTCTATTCTTACTTAGAAAGTAAAATCTAAAACATCTCCTTATGGAAAAAATGTTAAAGTTACTTCCCAAGGTTCAGGTGAGCAGTGACTCAAACCTGAAACTAATGGGTGTGCGTGCGCTTTTGTCCGCTGTCCAGACCAGCTCTGGGCAGAAGCGGAGGCCCAGAAGGGCCACAGCCAGCATGTACTGTGCCTAGAGCTCATTACCCAGCTCCTCGCAACGTTCCTCTGCCACTCATCTTACAAATAAAAGGAGCCACCCAATTCCTAGTTTATACTCAAGCCAATACTTGCCACTTCTCAAAACTCAAACTACTGTGGAGTCCACACACTGAGAGAACTTGTCGAGAAACAAAGCGCTCCCCGCCCCTGAGGAATCTCTGCCTGTTTTCCAGGATGCGCGCCCAGACAGGGGAGAGAGGAGCAGCACGAGCAGAATGGCGTAAGGCTGTGCAGCTGCTGACAGGTCAGAAGTGGATAAAGCGGGCCACATGAATAAAGTGCAGGTTGGTTCCTCAAAGGGCCCTCCCTGAGCTCTGGGTCATCTATTAACTGAGAAGTAACAGTCTCTGCTCAGAGAATGTTTGTACACGACGCAATGCCAACGTCTGGGGAATGCTGTGAAACCAAAGTGCAGGAGACCATCCCCTCTGGCACAGGGAGGCACAACTTCAGGCAGAGCAAAGCAGAGAGATGCTGCGGCAGCATCCTTCATGCTCAACTCCAGCATCTGTCTCGCTTACCTCTTTCTGGAGGTTAGAGAGCTGAGAGGAAAGGCTCTCGATTCTCATCCGGCTTTCCATCAGTTCTTCCCGGGCACTGTTGACAGTAGAAGTGTTCATCTCTGAAGATAGTCTGGCATTCTCGAGCTGAATGAAGAAGCAAACCTGTCAGTTTTATCTAGTGAATTTGATCAAATGAGGAAGTGAGAGTCTTGCTCATGTAACTGGCTGCCGAAACACAAGAAAAGCATCATGGAGTTTTGATGACAAGGTGGGAAATTATTACCTAGGTCTTCTTGACCTTTCAACTCAACTTCCAATGTTTAACAACACTAAAGTTTATTAATTCAATATTTAATTCCCTGTATCTCGAAAATCTCAAATAGAAACTGAACAGCAATTTGGCTGTTGTGATGGGCGGAAGGGCTCAGGGGGTATCACATACCGAAATCCACCCAGTACTCACGATAAAGCATTAAGCAGGAAGCACAAACGTATACAGCATTTTGAAACAGATAAAAATACTTCTTTCAGAAGTAAAGATACAGTTCCTTGGGTAGAAACAATATCCTTCTCCACCAAGTACCTGTAATATTCTATTCCCCGTGTGTGTTGAGCATGCAATTTTAAATGCTACCTCTTCCTGGCGAGGGGTATGCGCCGTAAGATGGCCGAACTCAGAGATTAAAACATCTCTCCCTTCACCAATAACTAATTCACATAAAATGGATTAAAAGCAGCAGACACAGTTTAAGACAATAAAACTTATTTTCAATATCTCCATGACCCTTTTTTTTAATCTAATCACATAACATTTAACAAACTGGAGTGAAATGTTGTACTCATTTGTGATGGCATAGATTTTTGCATATGTGCTTACACATGGGGGAATTCCTACAATATTTTCTAAATGAATAGTAGTGGCAGAGGAAGAAGTACCATTTTCCACATGCCTTTTTTCTTGTTAAAGACAAAAGTGTGGTGGTCACACTCTATATTCAATGATGACATGGAAGTCACAACTCAGGCAGTCCAATACCTACTGACTATTAAATGTATGCACAGGGCTTATTGTTTGAAGAAAGGTATATGATTTGTGCTTAACTTCCATGACATGGTGTGAATAATACATGGCACTAAAAGAAAGTGTTAAACTATGATAAAAATGTAGATCTATAATAAAACTGGAATAAGCCTACTTTTTTCCTAATAATTTTTAGAAACATTTACATTGTAGACTTTGTTTGTTGTTCTCACTAAGATCAGTAAACTAGAAAACCAGTCATTCATCTCAGGAAATGGGAACACACAAACAGCAAGTCGTGTTCCTGGGGGCTGCGGGCCCGTGGGGCAGGGGTGGGCCGCCGCTCACTTTGGCATGGTAGGTCTGCTCCAGCTCCTCCTTGTACAGCTTCACTTGGGCATCATGCTGCTCCCTCATCTCGTGAAGGGCCTGAGCCAGCTTGTACTCGTACTCAATCTGACGCCCAGAATCCACTTCTACCAGGCGAGTTTCGTGCTTCCTTCTGGTTTCATTGATCTCCTGGGGAGGGAGAGAAAGGACAGGAAACAAGCTGCTTAGTGTGGCTGCACAGACAATCACTGAGAGAGGCCAGGGCCACCTGAAACCCGCCAGACACCAGACGCGTAAGCAGATTCTCTCAAGTGAGATGAACGAATGAAAGAAATGGTATTTTAGTAATTAAGAAACACCATTTGCCCACTTATCACATTCATTCATTTCAAGAGCTATGAATTTTATGGTTCATCTCAATAGCACAGCTACTAATTTCTCTAAAGGAAGGAAGGAAGAGTTACTTAAATATCACAAAGTCACGGGTAACTATGTACACTCAAATATTAGCTGTTTTCCTAAACTTTTACTGATGACCTAAGAACATTTCTCAGAAAAATCCACCTGAAAAGTTAATCTTATCAAAGCAATTTCAACTAGAATTTATGCATTAAAAAATCTGCTTTTTTATGTATATTAAGATGCAACAGACATAAGCTCAACAGGCTGAGCATGTTTTGCATGGGTGGGGGAGAGGAGACGGGGAGGTTTAGGCTCAACCCCAGGCCCCACATGGTCTTTCTCAGGCACCAGGAGCAATCAATCCTCTCCCCCACTAGCCAGGAAGAATCGGGAATAGCCTATAGCACTGCTAAGTATGGCCCAGAACCAAAAAATAAAATAAAGAAGATAAGGGCTAGAGCAATAGCGCAGCGGGTAGGGCGTTTGCCTTGCACGCAGCCAACCAGGGTTCGATTCCCAGCATTCCATATAGTCCCCTGAGCACCACCAGGAGTGATTCCTGAGTAACCCCTGAGTAAGCCAGGAGTAACCCCTGTGCATCGCCGGGTGTGACCCAAAAAGAAAAAAAAAAAAAGAGAGAGAGAGAGATGATAATAGGCACATTATACTTTATGATTTAAGAAACTATCTAAAACTAACATTGTTAAGAAGACAAATCCTAGAATAAAATCTCTGTTCCAGCATCCAGCTATGAGAAGACAGAAGCCTTTAATGGCAATAATTAAAACAGCCACTAGAGGGAGATATAGCCCACTGAAATTCTTATTTCTGTCTGCAGGCAGTTTTTTTGTGTATTGACTTCCTCTTTCTCTTTATTGTCTGCTGCAAAGAACTCTACAGTATTAGAAAAATCAGGGTCTAATTTCCAGTTTTTAATCTCCCAATCAAAGAGAAGGATTCATAAATGATGAAAATATACAAATTAAATGTTTAACAACTTCTGAATATACAAATGATTTTTGCCCTTTGTCTGTCTCCCTTCTTTTTCCCCCACTTTCTCTTCAACGGTTCATAAGGTATATTTATTAAATAGAATTATATCCTCCTGGGGCTGGAGTGATAGCACAGCAGGTAACGCATTTGCTTTACACTCGGACAACCCAGGTTTGATTCCCAGCATCCCATATGGTCCCCCAAGCACCACCAGGAGTAATTCCTGTGCATCGCTGGGTGTGACCCAAAAAGCAAAAAAACAAGTAATGACAGATAAGAAGCAATTTTAACAAAAAAAAGACATAAGCTTAAAATAAATATTTCCCTTTTAAAGAGCCAAGCTACATTTTGATAGCATTTCTAGTTTACAGACAGCCTTTGGTTAGTTTTTCCCTTTAATCTTTACCTCTCTTTTAGGGAAAAATGTCAGATCAAATTTTTATTTTTCCCAATTAAATAATTAAAGTTTACAATAAATAATTATTTTTAAAGCACTGGCTTTTGTTTTGGGGGGGATGAGGATGCTGAGGTAGGAGTGGGGTGCACACCAGCAGTGGTCAGGGGTTACTCCTGGCCCGGTACTAAAAAATTAGTCCTGGTGGTACTCAGGGGACCATATGGGAAGCCAGGGATCGAACTCAGGTTGGCCACACACAAGGCAAGCACACTACCCACTGTACTGTTGCTCAGGCCCAACACTTTTCAAAGTTATTCATTTTACTTCTAAAACCATTATTTACTCAGTGTCCAAGAACAGATGAGTGGCTAAACTATGGTACACCTACACGACAGAATACTATACATTCATTAAGAAAAAAATGAAATCATGAAATTTGCTTATACATGGATGGACATGGAGAGTATCATACTGAAATGAGTCAAAGGGAGATGGATAGCAAAAAATGATCACACTCACTGTGCAATATAAAAAAAAAACAGTATGAGAATGATAACTAAAGAGAACAGAAACAAGGGTCAGGAGAACTGGTCCATAGTAGGAAGCTGGGGATGTGTGTGTGTGTGTGTGTGTGGGGGGGGGGGGGGGGGAATACTCAGGGTAGGGATTGGGGGGTGCAGTTAGGTCAGAGAAAGGACCACTACAATGCCAATGATCACTCTGAAAAAGAATTGGGTGCTGAAAGTGAGTAAAGTGATATGCATGATACCCTCTCAGTAACAGTACTGCAAACCAAAGTGTCTGCCATAGAGGCAGGCTGATGGGGAGGAGACACTGGTGGTGGGAAATGGGAAAGGCATGGGTATGAGAACACTGTATTGCTAAAACTCAATCATGAACAACTTTGTAACTGTATATCTCACTGTGCTTCAATTTAAAAAAAAAATAAGCCAAATGTATATTCAAATATACAAGGATGATCATTGGAATGTTTTCATAGCAAGAAAATTAAAAAATGGTTATATAAATTTTGCTACATCTGTGGAAAGATATCATAATGTGATTGTTTTCAGTGTTCAAGAAAATAAATTAAAAAATAAAATAAAAGCATTAAGTATTTAACTACAAGTGTCATTGTCGTCGTAGTCATCCCCACCCCGGGATTAACTCCAACACTCTCAAATGTGGAGGAAAAACACATTCTCTTGTCTTCAAGTTTGTTACTAACTCCCTGGCACAGCCCCGGTCTGGCTGCTGGCTCCTGACAGTCACACGCTGGGCTGCCCTCCCACGCTGATGACACATGGGGCGGTGGAAGAGGCGCTGGGTCACTTCTGTGGTCAGGACGGAGATGCGGCAGCTTCTGTCCACTCCTGCTCTCCCCACTTAGTCGAGGAAACAGCCTCACCAGCAACCCTACACTGAACCACAGTCTGATGAACGAGCTCAGAGAAGTTTCCTCCAGCCCAGTGACCAGAGTCTCAGGAGAGACCCTGAAAAGTCATAATCTCCGACCTAGCAACTCTCCGATTCCTGCTGCTACATTTTGGAATCATTTACCAGGCAAGAAAGGAAACTAACAGGTGCTTAAATAGGTTGATGAAAACCAGCTGCTGTAACCATTTATAAATTAGACGAAGTGGAATCACGCTTTGCCACGACAGACTGAGTTCTTTTTGTTTGCTTGCTTTTTTTTTTTCAGACTGAGTTCTTACATGCAGCCTTTTTTTTACAGAAGTACTTTGAGTGAGTTATTACCTTAAAATAATTCTCCCTTTCTATTATATATATAGTTTTAATGAAGTGCTTTTGGACCCTTACATTTCCTACAAAAAGTAGAACTGCATTTACCTCTTCATACATGCTTTTTCGGAACTCCAGGTCCTCAGTAAGGCTCTGACAGCGGTTCTCCAAATCCACCTTAAGTAAAGTTTCATCTGCCAACTGCTTTTTGGCAGCAGCTAATGAGGCTTCCAACTGTCACAGGGAAAAAGAATTAAGGAAAATTACATGGCAATCATTTAGTAATGAGCTTAAAAGATATGATGGCTTAAATCAAGTTTCTCTAGTTTATCAAGACATGTGGGATTCATTTTAATTTCAACCACAGCTCTGGCTGACCACAAAACACTTGTCCAATCTGGTGACTGGCAGCAGAGTCTGGAACAGACCTCAAACTCCTACTTCAAATATCCAGCCAACAATTTTAGCCACCACTTTCACATTTCCAGGTGAGGAGCAACATTATGACACCTTTCCCGGCCTCACACCTGGATGCAGTATCCAAATGGGCTTGAGAACAAAACACAAGAGGAGCCAAAAGGCCCATCAGAGAAGCCACAAGAGCTGCACAGTCCAGGCTCGGTGATGGAGGAAACACTGAAAATGGGAGACAACCCTCCTTCAGGCAAGACATCCAAGAAAATAGTCAACTGAAATTCCCGGTGATATTAAACACCACCCAACGCGTATCCTGCCACAAATGGTAAAGAGCAGAGCTCACTCACCTGTGCCACCTGATCCTTCAGATCCTCCAAATCCCCCTCTAAGCTTTTTTTGTCACCAAGCGCCGTAGCCAGAGCCGCGTCCTTAGAATTCAGTGCTGCTTCATACTCTCGAAGCTTGAGTTGGGCTCCATTAAGGTCGGATTCTTTCTTAGCATAACTGTAATAGATTTGAAGACATGTAAAACATCAAGTCACACCCCTGACTTCAAGCCTCCCTCCTCCCTACTGAAGCAGAAAACAAGGGACGGTTTAAATAAAGGCTGTATGGGGCCAGGGATAGAGGTCCAAGGCAGAGCACCTGCGTCACACACTCACACCATGGGTTTGGGGTTTTTCTTCCCCCTTTTTCAATCACACCCAGCAATGCTCAGGAGTTACTCCTGGCTCTGCACTCAAGAATTACTACTGGTGGTGCTCGGGGAGCCATATGAGACGCCGGGGATCAAACCCAGGTTGGCTGTATGCAAGGCAGACGCCCTCCCCACTGTACTATCGCTCTGGCCCCAATGGGTTTGATTTTAGAAGCTGGAGCGATAGCACTGCAGGGAGGGCGTTTGCCTACCTCTATCTATGGCATCCCATATGGGTGCCCCAAGCCCCACCGGGAGCAATTCCACATATGTTCCCCCACTGTGCGCCCCACAAGAAAAGCATGTGCTTCAGTCCAAATAATTGCATTTCAAAATTTCTTAGTCATCAATTTCTGCTGTTTCATTATTTCATTCTCTCACCCTCTTCCCTTCCATGGTGATGCTACAATGCCCAGGGCTGCACACAACTGGCCAACGTGCTCTAGAGGCTGTACACCCCCGGGCTGTGGTGCTCACGCAGCAGTGTTCAGTGTGCTCCCACTCCTGAGAGCTGGGCACATGGCAGTTAGAGCTGTACTGCTTCCCTTGCCCCTCACCACTGCAGTGCCAACACATCTCTCTAGCTGCAGTGTTCGCCACGGGTGACAGTCCTTTCTGTGGCGCTCATATACCTGGCTGCAGGGCAGCAAAAACTGTTCCTGAAGTCAGGGATCAGAGGCTGTACAACTGCCAAGACCCTGTTGGTGCATGTGGGACACCAGGGATTTGAACTCATGACCACACACTTACAAGAAGATAGGTATGCTAAGCAACCACACCACTCCCCACACCAGCTCTTAAACTTTTCGTAACTATTTTCACTATAGCTGAGAATGGGCTAAAAAGGGAATCTGTAACAGAAGTCTTAAGATAAATCTTATACTGTACAAAGCATAAGCAAAGTAATTTAAAGGAAAAGATTTGACAATTTTTGTTATTTTTCGATTGGGGGCCACATCCAACAGTGCTCAGGGCTTACTTAGGAATAAGCTTTCCACACTTAGTGATCACTTCTGGCAGAACTCGGGAGCATACGGGGTGCCAGGGAATGAAACCCAGGCAGCCGTGTGCAAGGCTAATGCCCTACCCACTGTGCTATCATTCTGGCACTCGGATCTTTTCTTAATAAGACTTTCTTTAAAAGATTGAACAGTATTTTATTCACAAGCTTTTCTGAAATCCTGTATTTTTTAAAAACCACAAGGTGGCAGCCTTTCACTGAAAATTTGGAGTAGAGGGGGAGATGGTCTTGGGAGAGAAATGCTGTCTGCAGATGCTGACTATAGGAGTGCTGGGTCCTAAAGCTGAGAAGTCACAGAACAGCAACAATGCATCTGGAGGAACTACTATCCTGGGACCAGAGCTGGGCTGCATATATATATCCTACACATGATCTGAAGACCAACTCATACTGTATAGTGCCTCATACACCATTTAGGAAAACTAGTGACTTAAAATTAGTTAATAATTCCAAAGCAATCTAAGTAGTTTTTACATCCCTGATCATAATGCAGCAGTGCTTTGCAATGTGATACCTCATAGCAGAAGTAAACCTGAGCTTCCCAAAATCCAAAGTGGTCCCCTATGATATAAATTTGTAAAATCATACCATGGAGACCAAGAATGTGGCTCAGCAGTAGAGTTCTTGCCTTCAATGCATGAGATCTGGGGTTCCACCCCAGCACTGTAAAAACTAAATAAAAACCATGCCCATTTGAGCCAGGGAGATGGCTCACTGGGCTGAGCCTATGACTGGCATGCTGGAGTCTTGGTACTGCACAGTTATCATCTTAACCATCCCTCCCCCTCCCCCAACCCCCACGACTTCCAGAAGCAAGTAACCCCTGAGTGAGATCCAGGAGAGGCTTCCAGGCAAGGCTAGATGTGGTCCAAAACTAAATTTAAAAACCCCAAATTTGGGGCTGGAGTGATAGCACGGCGGGTAGGGCGTTCGCCTTGCACGCGGCCGACCCGAGTTTGATTCCCAGCATCCCATATGGTCCCCCGAGCACCGCCAGGAGTAATTCCTGAGTGCATGAGCCAGGAATAACCCCTCTGCATTGCTGGGTGTGACCCAAAAAAAGAAAAAAAAACAAATTTTTCAAGCATGCCCATTTTACAGGCATGCATATTCTGTGTGTTCCATTTCACTGCTTTAATGAATACTAACTTCCATAGTTCCCAATTCAGACTATTAGATCTCAAAGGAAAGACACTGTAAAACAAGGTGTGAGAGTGCACGTGACTGACTAAGATCTGGTGATTTCTCAACACAACTCAAAACCAGCTCAGAGTGGACACAGGAAAGGATGGTCAGAGATACTGATCAGTAGTACCTGGAGCCATCTAATGGTATCTGTTAAATTTCTTCTTAGTCATTTATACCTCTGCATCCATTTTTTTAAAGGGGGGGGGGGACGGGGGCTCTGGAGTTAGCTCAGTGGTAGAGCGCCTGCCTTGAAAGCATGATGACACTTAAAGTTTGATGCCAGCACCAGCCCACAGTCAAATGCAACCCCAGAGGCACTGCCATTTGGGACCCCTGGTGCTACCAGAGTGTGACTTCTCTGACACACTGTAACCAAGCATGTAAACCACAACTAATACGCGTGTCCCCGGGCGGCACCAGCTAAAAGTGTGTAAGCACCAAAGTAAGGTGCAAACTCTTGTCATGGAATGGGGGTGTTTGGATAGGGAGAATAGGATCTGGGGTGTGGGCTCAGTGTGCCAGGTATCAAGCCCGGGACCTCACACATACTAAGCTTGTCTCCTCTACCACTTTCACTATCTCCGCAGATCTGGAACTGGGAAACTTTGGGGGGTAAAGGGTGTGCAGGAAAGAGGAGTCTCCCAGCTTTGCCAAGGGGCACCCGGCAGTCCTCAGGACTACTACCTGGGAATGAACTTGGGGCTCAGTGCGTGCAAGGCATGTGCTCCATCCCTCTGTACTATCTCCCCACCTCAGGAGGGGGAAACCCTTTCTGAATGACTATCAATAGAATGCCTATTGCTTACTCTAAATAAAGGCTCACCATATTTACAACACAGAAAATCATTCAAGACCTAGTGAGTTTAACAACAGCTACTTGACAATGAACTAGAAAACATTAAAAACACTTGAAAAATCAGGCTAACCTAAAAAATTAGTGTAAAGCCCAGGGAGCTAGCTCAGAGGGCCAGAGTACGTGATCCACTTGCTTTGCATGCCAGGGCCCCACACTCAAGCCACAGAACAGCATGAACAGCATGCTCCCCAAGTTCACCTGGCTCAGGTATGGCCCCCACACAAAGAAACAAACGAGAAAACCAAAAAGTACTTGCTGTAAGATATTAAGAAAGAGGGGTTGGGGGTGGGGGCTGGAGAGATAGCACAGTGGGTAGGGTGTTTGCCTTGCACGCGGCTGACCCGGGTTTGATTCCCAGTATCCCTTATGGTCCCCTGAGCACCGCCAGGAGTAACTCCTTAGTGCAGAGCCAGGTGTGACACAAAAAGCAAGCAAGCAAGCAAGCAAGCAAGCAAGCAAGAAAGAAAGAAAGAAAGAAAGAAAGAAAGAAAGAAAGGAAAAGAAAGAGGGGCTGGAACAATAGCTAATGTGCTATGGTGCTTGCCTTGCACATGGCCAACCTGATCTGATCTGAGGCATCATAAATGGTCCCCTGAACCCCATATGGAATAATCCCTGATCACAGAACACAGAGCCAGGAGCCCTAAGCACAGCTGGGTGTGGTCCAAAAACAAAAACAAAAAAGAAATAAATCAAGAAAGAACATATTTTAGGAGAGAGGAGGGAGGGGAGGGAGTACTTAGAACGTAATCTGAACTCATTATACATCATTTCATTAGTTAGATCCTGGCAAACCTCTTGCCCTTCTATAGCATCCCCTAGGTTCCCTGGCTGAGAATGCTTACTTGGCAAGCATACGGTCCAAGCTGGCCTGAGTCAAACCTCTGGCGCCCCCACACACAATCCTGGCAGCTCTTCAGTCTGTGATCCCCAGTCCCAGAGATGATTCAGGCAGCCCTGCAGCCAGTGTACGTGGGCACCATAGCTAAAGATTGAAAACACCCGGTTGTGCAGGCACCACAGCAGGAACAAATGTCACAGCCAGCATGTGTGACCACAAGCCATGAATGGATGGGTTTCCCTGGTTAGTTGTCTATTGTATGGGTCCACTTCTATCACTATAGCTCAGCCGATTGAAGTGGCTGCTAACCCAGTTGGACCACTACAAAAGAAATTCCTAAATACAGTTTCTCTAAATTACCTGCAAGAGCTGTAAGCCAGGCCAGGGTGTTCAATTTCAGGACAGGGTCTACAATGCCTGCATTTTGTTTACTTCTCTTACAAATGACATTATCTATCTTCCCTCTCTGTCCTTGTCCTTTAAGTTTCACGTCGAAAATAATAATAATAATAATAATAATAATGGCATAAAAAGCCACATCAAACAATTCAAAATATGAAACCCAGACTACTATAGTCTCAGTGGGCAGAATTAACTAAATACAAGGAAATAGTGTGTGTGTGTGTGTGTGTGTGTGTGTGTGTGTGTATACATACACCATTCCCTCACTCACACACACACACACACACACACACACAGAATTAATATCTGGGGACAGAGAAAATACAGAGGATGAGGCGCTTGCCTTGCATGCAACAGACCCCCGCTGATCCCCTAAGCACCATCAAAAGTAATTCCTGGGAACAGTGAGAAGTGACTCCCAAACACAGCCAAATGTAGCCTCTATACCCCCTAATAAAATATTTTTTAAGGGCCAGAGCAATAGTATGCGGGTAGAGCA